AATTGATAGTACTGTATAAAAAGTGTACCAGGCTTATCTGAAAAAGCGTATTGAGTGCGAATAAAGTTTCAAGCAAGTCTATGTTAACCTTAAATCTGTTTAAGTGAAATAACAAAACACTATATAGTTACTGTCTAACTCTGTAATAGTAACTTAATCAGCTTACAAAAAATCTGGTTAAATTAATAGTATGGTAATACCATATTTACAAAATTTATAAGAGTTAATATATAGTACAAAATTAAATTTAGATTGTGATACAACTACATGCAAATACATACAAATCATATTTATAAGGTTGCATTATCACAACATATACATATATACGTTCAAATAATTTAAAATTAGTGATGCTAGCAGTTTTCTACTTGCATAAAGCAAACTAATTATAATTCTAAAAAAATTGCATTTAGTGGCAAATAGCATGATTCTACTAAAAGAAAGATGTTTTCTCAGAATGCAGTTGGAATTTTACAGTATTTTCTGTAATACTCTTATTTCGCATAGCGGTTTTATGAATTTCTAAAACAGACAGTACATTAAATTAAGCTTAAACTACTTATTTTATTACCACTATTATCGATCAGGTTTAAAGTTGTTAATTCCAGGTTCATCTAGTTTTTTTATTTGTAAGGCGTTTATACAATTAGTCATACTATCAACTATCTTTTTTATTAATCTATCATTAACTCAAAATATAGCATATATAAATCCAGAATATGATTCTTATCAGAATATTTTAGTGTCTTTAAAATGTCCAATTCAAAAAAATATAATAATTATACGTTATCCTCTCAACAAAATAAAAAAAATCATAATAATAATAATAATGATTTGTTTCTTGAAGAGCCTTAGTAGATTGATATTAGGAATAATAAAACTAGTTGGGTTTGGAAGTACTTCAGAGTAAAAACTGATAGCCGTGCTTATTGTAGATATATAATAAATAAGGATAAAGAGACAAAATGTGGATAGAGCTGTATTTATAACTCTCAAACTAGTAGTATGAATCATCATTTAGAAACTATTCATAAAAAATTTGAAAAAAAATCAGTAAGTAAATTTAATAATTTTAAGAAAAATATGTTTATTTTATTTAATTAAAATTTTACTAATATATTAATTTTTAGAAACAACTAAAAATTGATGATTAATTAAAGAAAGTAATGCCACATAAAGAATCAAAACAAAAAGAATTGCAACGTGCTATTACAGACTGGATAATTATAGATTTCCAATCTTTTAATGCAGTAAACGGATTAGGATTTCAGAAAATGATAAAAAAATTGATTCTGCATTTTGTTTACCATGCTATAAAACTATCAAAAAATTTTTGAGTATTGGATACCAAAAAACATTTCAAGCAATAAAAGAGTTAATTAATAAGTCTTGTAAAGATGCTGCTATAACAACAGACCTCTGGACATCACGTGCAAAGAATAGATACATTGGAATAACCTGTCACTGGTTAAATAATAATATGAAATTATATGATATACTTGTGTATATTGAACCTATTAAATATCCCCATACCGGTGATCATATTCATAATACTATTATTTCTAAAACCACATCTTTAGGCTTAAATGATAAAATTAAAGTTGTAGTTTCTGACAGTGGTTCTAATATAATAAAGGCAATTTGTGAGTGGAAAAGTATTGAACGTGTATCATGCTCTGCGCATACTCTTTAATTATATGTAACTAAAGCTTTGCAAAAAATTAAACTATATTTAAAAAGATATAAAAAATTAAATAAATTTTTTAATTTTTCTAAACAAAATAAAAGATCAGAAGAAACGCAATATCAATTATTATCAAATTATGAAGATATAGATATTAATCAAGATGTACCTGATAATTTAGCATTAGTTGATCATGATATATCCAATAAAAAAATAGATAATACAACACTTATAACTCCTTTAAAAATTTTAAGAACTATTAATGAATATAATACCCGGTAGGGATCTTCTTTGGCTTTTTGAAAATGGTTAAAAGAATTAAAAGATTCTATAAAATATGTTAATTTTAAACTTTCTTTAGAAACTTATAAGAAAGCAAAAAAAGATCATGAAATATTAAAAATGCGATTCTTAAAACCTTGGAAATGGGATCTTCTCAATAGTTTAATTAAACTTTTTAAACTAATTGAAGAAGCGACAAAGTGGCTTAGTGGTCAAAAATATTGTACGCTATCGTTAATATATCCTACTATACAAATTTTAAAGTATAATTATATTGTAATTGAAGATAAAGAAGGTATATATTTTTTTTTATTATTATAAATTATAAAGCTTATAAATTTATAAAATACAATAAATATTTCTTAATATTACAATTAGAAATTAGGTCTATGGAAGAAGATCTAAATCAAAATGAGGAAGAGACTAAAGAAGAAGCTGAAAAAGAAACTAAGGATGAAACGGATGAGGAAACTAATAGTATTAATAGACCAAATATTAATAAAATTATTAATTTAGTCAAAACTACAATTTATAATACTCCTTTTAATTACTTTGATTCTCCACCAAATTTGATTTTACTTGCAAGTATTTTAGATCCTAGATTTAAAAGGATGAAAGGATGGCCAGAAGAAGAAAAAGCAAGAACAATTACTTTATTAAGATCTGAATATGTTTACTTTAAAAATAAAGAACTATTAAAGAGTAATCATGAGTCTAGTAATATAAACAAATATCAGTTTAAAGAGCTTAAAGAAAAATGATTAGCAATTTTAAATTACGTCTATTTGAAGAAGAAGAAGAAGAGATTATTAATGATAATGAAATTGATCATTATCTTGATAGACTTAGAACACCACAAGCTAATAGTAATGCTGATCTGTTTAAATAGTAGAAAGACAATAAAAAAGATTTTCCTATTCTTTTCATGATATCTCAAAAATATTTAGGAATCCCTGTAACTTCAGTTTCTAGTGAACATCTATTTAGTGATGCAGGCAAGCAAATAACGAATGAAAGAAATAGGCTTAAGCCTAATACGGTCAATGAACTTCTTTTTGTTAAAAGAAATAAGGAGTATTATAATTTTTATAATTAAAATTAAATTTTATTAGAGAATATATATTTCATTATAGATATTTGCTATTTTCACTATGCTGCTATACTTTTTATATAACTTTCAGCTACATAAATATAACAAGCATATTATTATAATAAATTCTATCAGGATTTCTTGCAGTATAGGTAACATCTAGTTTAAATCAATTAATTAAAATACTTTTTATTAGGGTATCACCTATACTGCAACAAATCTTTATATCAAATTGTGAAAATACTATACAATATTTCTTAATTTATGTCAATTTGAACTAACAGAACCATTATAAAATTATGCTTATGCAGCTAAAATTTATGTAAAAGCATAATAGAAATAGCAAATTTTCATAAAAATAGGTGCTCTCTTTTATTACTGCATTTTTTAAATTTGCTATAATTATCAAATAATTAGCTATTGTTATAAAAAATTTTTTATATTCTATCTGTATATTTTTTCGTAAATTGCTACTTAGAAATAGTAATTTTAAAGATTCTAATAATATACAGAATTTTGTAATTGGCTAATTAATAATAAAATTTCTAGTATCTGTTGTCTGCATTTTCATAAATATTAAACAAATATATTATTACAATATATAACATAAAATAATATTTAGAATAGCCAGTATAAATATCAAGAATTATGTAGTATAAATTATCAAATCTGTATAGTATAGGATATAAAATACCTCTTCTTAAATCTATTAAAATGGTAGATTAGTTTGATAGATGTTATATACCTTTGAACCTGATTATCTATACTATAATAATCTATATAAATAGAGCGTACATTATCAATTAATTAGCATAGCAAAAATTTTAAAAAACAAAAATAATAAACAAATCTATAGTAAACCATTTTCTTCATTATTAATTGTCATGGCTAATGTCTAGATCAACTGATGCTAAGATTTAAAACCTTTGGTAAAATCTATTAAATCTACTAAAAACTGCATATATACTTGTATTAATAAATCTAACTTAAGCTCTAAAGATATACTTTAATTTTTTTTTTTTCCATCTTTGGCAGTCTTGCCAGTGATCCTTTATTAAGATTATTGCATTACAGGTTGATACAATGT